GGGGGGCGGGGCCTGCCTACAGGAACCATCAGGAACCTACAGGAACCATCAACATGCGTCCCAAGCCATGGCTGCATGAAAATAACTGCATTTTCTTTTCCAATAATAGCGGCGGCCAGGCTGACACTGCTGGGGGTGCAGATGGGAAACTGGGCTTCACCCAGGGGACAGAAGTGGGGAAGAAGATGGTGTATTTTAATTAAAAAAAACTAATGAACACTTTCCCCTAAAAAAGCTGGGCTAATTAAATTATTACCAACCACACCCCACAAAGAATGCGTCTTGACATCTGCTCACTGAAAATGGACCCCTTCCCCAGTTTCAATAAACCCCTTGCAAATGGAGAAAACCATCAGGAGGAAGTATTTTTCCCGGCGGGTTGGGGGCGATTTATGAGCCTGTGAAAGGTCCGTGATTCTTTCATCACTTCCCAGAGAACCATTGCCAAGTGCCCGCTGGCTGCCCTGGGCTGTGATAGCACAGCTGAGGCCTGAGCAGAAGGTGATGGGGGTCGGAGCCTGGGACGGCCTGTCGCTGCTGCATTCCGCTGGGAGGGGAACAGGGAGGGGCCTCGGTTATTTAGCACCTACTGCCTGGGGCTCTGTGTGGGCCATGTGGACTGAGAGCTGCCCTCCAGGGGGTCGTGACCTTGAAGAGGCAGCAGGAGAGCTGCACACTCGTACACGTGCTCCCTCCCCGCAACACACACTCCCTGACTGACAGTCACAAAGGGGCTGGATGTCACACAGCAAACGTGCAGCAGAACTGAGTGCCCCACTTCTGATTTTCCTACAGTCCAATAGGAGGGCCCCCCAGTAATGGTTTCCGCTGCCCTGCTGCACCCCCTGTGCCCTCCCCCACACAGGTATAAGTTCTTAGCAAGGCTAACTGGCTCCGGGGCAGGTTCCGGGAAGTCTAGGGGCTCTGGAAAGCAGCCAGGGTTGAACGCACAGGCTGGTAGGCAGGCCCCAGCTGCATCTCTCACCTGCTGGGAGAGTTTGGGCCTGTTATGTCCTCTCTCAGGTCTCAGTTTCCTTATCTGTGAAATGGGGAGAATGATAGTACTTACCTGGTAAGCTATTATGAGGGCTAAATGAGTTAATACGCAGTCAGGTTTAACCCAGCACTTGCTCTGAGGAGTGAGTGTGTGTCCTTAGTGTTAAACAAGCAGGACTCCAGAGGGCTGTGCTGGGCTGGGGAGAAGTAGCCGTTAAACAGCTTTATTGTGCCTTTTTCTGTGAGCTGGTTCCTCCTCTGTCTCAGGCAAGCCTCACAACTCTTCTGGACTCTCTTTGGTTGTAAAAAGTCCACCAACCACTGTAAGTCACAAAGTCCATTTCCATTCTGTCATTTGAATCCCTGGCTCCAATATAAATTCCAAAATGTCACGGGTAGACCCCTGGGTGCGCTGTGGGCGGTGTCTCTTTCTGGACTGGCAGGTGTTTGGACCCTTCCTCTCACTTCACTTGTGTGGGTTCTTTCTCAGTCCCATCCCCCCCCCCTCCATTCTGTCTCCTTATTTCAGATCTGAGCCCCCGCCCCCCACCCAGCTGGTTCCCAAGTTCCTGGGACCTGGGCCATTTCCATCGCAGGCAAGTTGCCCACAGCTCCACGCCCATCTCTGCCGCACACTGTCCGCTGCTGTGCCGCTGCTGGGGCTCCTCACCACCATCGCCCCCCACCGACAGCTGCTGCCCTTGGCTGAAAGGTCTTCCCTATAAGGATGGCTTCTGAGTGACAGGTTTTAGATCAGCTCGTTTTTCCTCACGGGATTTAGAGACAAGTCTACATGAAAGACTATTTGGAAAGAACCTTGATTGTATTGCTTTCGAGTAACTGCTAACCACGTATTTCCAAATAAGTGTCTCCAGGGGTCTACATCAAAGAAAAGATTAAAACTCCTTTGCAATTAGCACGAGCTATTTACATACAAACTGTTGCACCGCAGTCTAAAAAACACTCTTACTCTTAAGTAGGTTAAACAAAAGCCTGCCATTATTATTTCCTCAGCTCTGGCTGAGCAACCCTTTCCTCCCAACATTTTGAAAGAAGTCAACTCAGCCAGTTCAGATACGTTATGAATCTGATGAGGTGGGGTCACACCGGTGAGGTCAGAAGCACTGTGGGTGCCCCTCTTCC